GTCAGCATAATTAGAACATTTCTCAAACACGCTTCTTCAACGTTTTGCTCCCATATATAACTTACCTTGATTTTTGTATGACATTCTTTTTATGTTTTCCTCCAGCGCCGAGAATATACTTATCTGGAATGTGTGAAACCCTTTTATGAATCAACACAATAATGGCATGTCTGCATAAAATCCCTTTGAATTCAAACAAATGACAATTGCAGCGAATATCACATGAAATTTCTTCAAAGTAAACCAGAAAGGGAACACGCCGATTACTATCTCCAAACCAAACATCTTCTAAAACTTGATACTCCTCATACTAATCAGACTTTTTCAGAAATGATAATTCACAATAAATCTTCCCCGCAATCTCTTCTTCAAACTCTTTAAATTTTGCAGTTGTGTATGCATTTTGAAATTGTTTCTCAATGGGGTAATTAGTTATGTATGGTATCCAAGACTTGAAAGATCTAAAATCAACCTCCCTCTCCTTTTCCACTTTATCTCGCAATGCATAATTATATTGTTCCATAAATTGTTTCAATGTTGTTTTGGAATTAACATATCCATCAAAAAATGCATGCATACTTTCACTACGTTGGGTAGTAGACATACCTGCCCAGAATGTATCTTTAAGAAATGCAGGCACCCAACGTACTCTTTCTTTATACAATCCAGATAACCATTCATTCTCATGAAGGTTATACACATCAATGAATTTGTTCCACAGTTCTTCGAACTCTTCACGTGCCAACGAATCATACATAATATTTTGTAACGTAAACTTTATAGTTTCATATTCGTTATACCCTCTTAACTTTTCAGGCAGTTTCTTCATTATATGCCACAAACACCATCTATGTCTTGTATCGAGGAAAACAATCTCAATTGCATTTTGCATGACCTTATCTTGATCAGTGATAATTCCATTAGGAGCAACATCCATGCATTCAAGCCAAAAACGAAACAGCCATACAAATGTCTCTGTGTCCTCATGTGAAATTAACCCGCAACCTAACAATGTCGAATGTCCATGATGATCAACCCCCACAAAAGCCGCAAATGGCATATCGTACTTGTTCGTCAGATACGTTGTGTCGAAGGTCACAACATCAACAAAATCTTTATATACGGCCCTACATCTAGCATCAACCCATAGCACATTCTTCAATCGACTCTCTTCATCTACATGAATCATGTACCAGAAATTGGAATTCTCCTTTGCATTTTCACAAAATACTTTAGCACTACCGAAGCATCTCCAACTCCAAGTCGTAGCCTTCTAACTTTTACAATGTAATTCCTACAATCTTTTTGTAGAAATGTCAAATTCTCTACACCTCCTACCTCAACTGAACATGACTGAAAATTTTTACACGGTCTAATCCCAGCCTGATCATTAACTTCAAGCCTCCTTTTCACAAAAGGCTGTATTGTTTGGTTTACCTTGAAATATCTTCTTTTCGTCGGACTTGTAAGATCATGGTTATGTTCAAGCACAACCGATTTAATTTCCCATTTGTATTCATCATTCAAAGTTGCACTAATCCGACTCTTACAATCTGTTTTTGCAATAGGTTGTTTTTTCAAGGTATTTCTACATTTACTTCTCTTCTTCCTAGAACAAGAACACGCCACTGTCACGTATCTCATCTCTCCATCATCTCCTTTCTTTGACGTACGTATCATTGCTTCAAAACCCATTTGTTCCCATACCTTTTGTAATACTTCACCAAACTATCAACTGAATCAAACACCATTCCAATATGAGGCTTCACTTCTTCCTCTGCACATCCTGTATCTTCTAATTCATCACATTCATTTTCCTGATTCAATGGTTTTATAATAAAGAAAATTAGAATGTGAACACATCATAATAAACAATACAATACACCATATTTAAAAAAGTTTCTAACACAATTTACCTTAACATCATTGAAATGAGGCAAATTGGACTCTTCCATATTCAGTTATTTCATGCACAACTAATACGAGTTTTTGCGTTCAGGAATCTAGTTCACAACTGTCACCAACAAATATTATCTATCAAACATATATTCAATCCATCACCAATAAATATTATCTATCAAACATATATTCAATCTAAAATAGAATAGGAAACTAAATGAATATATAAAATAAGTCAAAAATTCTTTACCTTAACAAAAAAATTCTTAGCTTTAACAGGTTTGATACTGACTTTTGTTTCAAGGTTATCTCAGTTATATCTATAAAACGAGATATTGCTGCTGGTGCTTGGCTGTTGAGGAAGCAACCGGCGTCGAAGCAAGGAATCACAACACGCGACGAAGGAGAAGCTAAGAAAACCAAATTGTAGACGAAGAACCGAAGAAAAACAAATGACGGAGATGAAAGAGAAGAGAAGAGAAGAAAAAAATTTGGCGCTTAAAAATGAAGCGTATTAAACAAGCCATTCATTAATATTAATTAACAAAACAATTTTTTCAAACAATTTTTTCAACAAATATGGACTAGCGTCTATGTATTTTGGATGGCCGTCCATGTAAATATGGACGGCAGTCCATGTACTTGGGACGGCCATCCCAAGTACATGGACTGCCGTCCATATTTACATTATATTTAAAAAAAATATTTTAAATAATTAAAAAATTTTACAAACTGGGACGGCAGTCCATCTGGTATGGCCAACCGTCCCTAAAAGATGGACAACCGTCCACAACAGATGGCCTGCTGTCCCTATTTTTTATAAAACCATTTTTTAAAAAAAAAAAATTTACAAATATAGGGACGGGCGTCCATATAATATGGACGCCTGTCCAAAAATTTGGACCGGTGTCCATCTCCATGGACCGGCGTCCATATTATATGGACATCCGTCCATTTATGTCAGTATTCAATCGGTTCAATTGGTCCAACGTGGCAGCTTCCACGTATTTCGGTGCAACTTTTCGGTGGATATAGCATTTTTGTTGTTCGATTGATAGGTGGCCTACTTAACAAAAATATTTAAAGGCTTCTTAACAAATTTTATCATTCCAAATAAAAAAAGAAGTTGAAATCTTATTATTATTATTATATATTTAACTAACAAATCAAGCAAGCAAATCTCAAAAGCCATGTATAATAAAAATAATCCAACAATACAACAATATGTAGAAAAAAAATTAAAAAAAAAAAAAAAAAAAGAGGAGAAGAAGGATGTCTTCTTGTCAAAATCCGACAATTTTGATGGTGGTAAGTGCTAAGTTGGTTAGTGTTGGTGAACCAGTCGTGGAGGCGGGGAGAGTTAAGAGAGTTTGAAAGATGAGAGAAAGAGAGATAGTAGATCTAGGGTTGAGAAAAATGAGAAACTTATGGCTTATATACTAGTAATCGAGTATGGGAAGGTGTATATTAGGCTTTTTACTTTGCCTAATAGTAGGTTGACAAATAATCCCGTCTGTTGTGCGGTTCCCTGCCTAGATTGTAAGGGTGTTTTTGCTAGATTTTAAACTTGTAGAGCTAATGTGTAATTTTGTAGGGGTGTGTTTGCTGGATTTCAAATCTTCTGGAATTTCTAACTTCACCGGTTCGACTGATTGGCCAACCCGTCGGATTGGGCCCTTGGTCAGGTCAAGGCCCAACCAATTTTAGAACAATGATTAAAATATAAGTATAGACCTATGACGTGTCCTGTGCTTTGTCCATATACACAATCTGAGTCCTATGACCTAACACCTATGACTCAGCACCTACAGTTCATTAAAGAGGACGAATTATGTTATCACTATCCTGGTTGCTAGAGATTTAGCTTTGTCCTCAAACAATGTCCTTGTATCTTGGTTGCTAGAGATTTAGCTTGATCCTTAAAGAATGTCTCTGTGCTTATCAGCCATTAGATGACATCCTAAGACTATAGCCATTGGATCATGTCTATATTTGTCACAACTTAATGAAAATATTAAAGTGTTTATTTTGTTCTCAATCTCTCTGTTGTTCTTTGGTTTTTTAGCCTTTTTATTTGGTAATCCATTGCTTCTAAAACTTGGACCAGGAGCCAAATTCTCACATGGTATCAGAGTGGCTTCTCCTTCATATTTTTCCAACAACTCAACTTTGAACACAACATAAACCACTTTCTCACCTTCAACGTTCAACTTTACTATACTCACAAAACTTGAACTACCTAATTTTAAGACATGGAAACAACAAATCATTTCTTCGATCAAGGCTAATGATATGGAAGGATTGATTGATGGATCTAGGCCATCGCCCAGTCCCTTTGTTACCCTAAACCTAGGATCAAGAAATGAAACAGTTTCCCCAAACCCATAATACCAAGTTTGAAAAAAACAAGATCAGACCCTCTTAGGTTGGTTACTGTCTTCTATATCAGAAGCAATACTAAGGAAAATTCCTAACACCAACACATCATATGATGCATGATCTGCATTAGAAGAGTTTTATGCCTCACAATCAACATCGAGAGTCTTGCATATCAAAATGCAACTCCAAAACACAAGAAAGGATCAAACGAGTGTTATAGAGTATTTTGATAATATGAGAGCTTACGCTTATGAGCTAAGTCTAGCAGGTTATCCCATCTTTGATGAAGATCTGGTGTTACAAATTTTTGGTGGCCTAGGCATAGAGTATGAGTCAATTGTTATCTTCACCATAGCAATGAGCATATGTCTTGCTTCTTAACCATGAAGTCAGACTAGAACGAATGCATGCCAATGCTACACTTGAAATCCAACAATTACAACATAGAATACAATATGTGAAGCAAAATGCATGCCGGTGATCAAAATCATCACCGTCTTGGTCTCAAATGCAGAAGACACCCTCATTCCTAACACTGAGGATTCCCAAAGATTTCGAGGTGGTTCCTATCGTTAGTCCGAGAAAAAAATAAAAATTGGTGGCTTATATTATTGAAAGAATGGTTATAGAAGATTTAATTAATTGTCAAATAATAAAGCTCACACTTATTTGAATCAATTGTGCCTTGTTAAAAAAAAAAAAAAAATACACACATATAAGAAATGATTACTGCAACATGGATGAAGATGAACAAAGGCCGGCTTGAAAATCCTCACTTGTCGAACACTACTTTTATTGAAATTGTAATGAATCTCACCAAGATGGCTCAATGCATGTATCAACATGGGGATGGACATGGTATTCAAGATTGTGAGACTAAAGATCGCGTATTATCATTACTTGTTTATCCCATCGCGCATATGTAGGGAGATGGTCACAAGTAGTGATTAGAGTTTTTTTTTTTTTGAAATTAAGTGACAAGTAAGATTATTGCATTTTTATATTTATTCTTCTTACACAAGTAATAATACGTGACTGCTTGAATATCTATTAAAATTTGGTGTTTGTGTAAATTCCACAAACAAAAGATAACATATGGAATATATTTATATAAGAGAAAAAATCAATTACCATATACAATTATGAAAGTCTAAGTTTTTGGAAACTCTGCATTTTTAATCAAATTCTCCATAATAGTTTCATAAATAAATTAAAAAATGACCAAAACACAAACAACATAAAATGTCTACTGTGAGCTCCTCCCTTGGTCATAATTTACTCTAGGGGTGGTGAGTTGTTGAAGATGGATTTGTTTTTTGATTAAGTAAAATGGGTTTCAGTTTCGTGATTATTGAATATATGTTTTGTTGACGTGATATTGAAGATATGGACTTTGTTTGCATAATCCTTAAGATAGGTTCTGTGATGGATTTTGGATTGGTTTTAAGCAATGATTAGAAAACCAGACCAGACCAGCTGATTCTCGACCAGCCCCTTGTCTAGTCCAAGCCTTAAATAAACATGTTTGTAATATGCATTAACCTGAAATGGGCCGGAGTTGGACTGGCAGAATAGTAACAAACGGCCTGGACAAAAATCCAGGTTACTTAATACAAAATCCCCAAATTTTGCTAAAGTTCTAGTTTCCTTTTTCGATCGTAAATTTCTCGCTTCTTCTGTGGCCAGTCGCCATCCCTCTGTGTTCAATCACCATTCTTTTTAATCGTCATTCTTTGTCTTTAATATTCTTCGTCTTCAATATTCTGATCTTCGATTCTTCGGCCTTTGCACGAAATTTTGCCAGAGTTGTTGTGTTTTTCTTTTGGGTTTCAGTTTAGGACAATTAACCCAAAGAGCCAGAAGTTTTACCGTGTTCATTGGCGTTGTGTTTTGCTTTCACTTACGTGTGTCTTCACCCACTCGATAAATTCAAAACCAAGTTGCCAACAAAGGGTGCTTCACATATTTGCATGAGCATGTTTAATCGTTTTTTACAGTACATGTGTCTCAATCTTGTTATATTTGAAGATATTTGAGGTGTTTGTTGAGCTTATGAAAATTAGCTTATAAGTAACAAGTACTTATAAGCTAATTTTTAACTTATAAACATTTGAAATTTTAAGCAATTACGTGTTTGGTTAAAGTATTTATAAGTGACTGATAAGTAGTTGACGTGTTTGATAAAATGTGGCTTATAAATACATTTTATTATAAAATAACTAAAAAAGATACTACATTAAATAATGGTATGCTATGAAATTTTAAAATTAAATAAGTATAATGTGGTAATATACTTGATCAAACTTCTGCTTATTAAAAAAAAAAAAAGAAAAGAAAAAAAAAAAAAAAAGTACCTCCCTCAACTTATTTTTTTTAGCTTATAAGCTCAAAAAAATTATAAACAAACATATCAGTTTAATTTTAAAGCTTATAAACTTACACAAACACTCAATCTTTATCTTTTCATGAAACTTGGGTGATAAGTTTTACATTACGGTGTCACTTTTTCTAAAAGTGGTCCAAGAAAGTTTGTTTAAAGATTGGTTGAGCAAGGAATATATAAACCCATCTTCTTCTTCATTGCGTCTCTTAACCTAGATATTGAATAATCTCTGAGCTCTGAAATTTTACTGAGCATAGTCAATCAGGTTCATTTTTGTTGCTGGGTTCATTGACGACTATCTTTGTTGCTATTGAGGATTGTGGAGTGCGGCTCCTTATTGAAAGCTTGAATGAAGTTCAAGTTTTGTGCTGGAAGGTGTCTTTCAGCTGGTCAAGCCCAAGAGGTGCTTGAGCTGTTCAAGTGGATTCTTGGACTCAAGCAGATTGAAGCAGGGCGTTGGAGTAATCTGAGGGTAGAGTTAGAGTCTTGTAGAACAAGGAGTGTTTTAGATTGTTGTACTTAATTTCAACTCTGGATTAGCTTGTAACATGTTTTGTTATAATGGATTTGCTGTATCTGGACTTGTTCCCATGGATGTAGGCTAAAACATCCATGTAAAAATTCCAACGTGCTTTATTTTTTCCAACGTGCTTTATTTTTTCTGCTCATGGTTGATTGATCTGTCTAATGGTTTGTTGATTAACTCCTAAAAGCATTAACACATGTTACCCATTCTGCTGTGAGTATAAAGAGCATAAACTCTTTCAGGGAAATCGATTTTTTCTAAACTTGAGATGTTCCCTTCTATGCTTGTTCCTCCCACGACTGGTGCAATGGAAAATATTGTGTCATTGGCTATAATGGTGCCTAAAAAATTGATTACTCAGAGAATGCAGGCGAGTGCAAAGGGGCGATCTTGGGAGGTTTTATTGAGAATTTCGGAGAAAGGTTTTTGCCTAAAAAATTGATTACTTAGAGAATGCAGGCGGGTGCAAACGGGCGATCTTGGGAGGTTTTATTGAGAATTTTGGACAAAGATAGGTTTTTGGGGCTTTATTATTCTGCTACATTGTTGAGGAATTTGCCTGTTGGTGTGCTCAGTTATTCGTCTTTTGAGTACTTGAAAGTTGCAGATTTGAGTAGGACTAAGAAGGGTCATTTGGAGCCAATTCAGAGGGTGTGTTGTGGGGCATTGGCTGGAGCAATTGGTTTGTATATGTCAACTGGTATCTCAAGTCTCTATCACATGGTAATCAAATACATGCCTTAGTAAAATTGGGAATTTTTTTTCACGCTGAATTAAGTTGGTAAACGTTTGGGAATTTTTTTCATGCTGAAGTCAACATGATGTCACCAATCCGACTGGTTCAACGACCCAACCTAGGACTCGGTTGCCTGACAGGGTCAGAATTAGAAAATTGGTAATGGGTTTTGTGGCAGTACGATGGATTTTGGGGTTGATTTTATGGTAAAGGAATGGGTTTTATTTATGTAGTTATTAATTGACTAGTTAATTGTTTACATTATTTCATGATATGCATGGAGTGGTATTAGCTAGAACAACAGCTTAAATCATTCTTAAAGAACGGGATATTAAACTACATCTTATATATGCATGGTGTTATAAGGAGGTAAGAGAGGCAACTAATTAAGCTGCCGAAGAATGTCAAGAGAGAAAGAAAAACTTTGAGAAGAAAGGTATATTTCATTTATATATTTGTTTGTACAGAATTAATCTATTTATACAAAAAGAATATAGTATGAAATGAAAGAACTAATTATATGATTTTAGGAGTGACAGAAGAATCCCTTCAAATAGGAGTAGAATTAGTCCTGTAATGAAGCTTAATCATATCCTGTAAGTCCTGTAATGGAGCTCACTCATATCCCATGATAAATGCTAATAACTTCACATGTCAACACATGGAATATATATAAATATATTGATTGTGTTGGGTCAACTCAGATTTTGCATATTGAATTACGACTGTAATTTTTATAACCGATGCTAAGTCTAACACTTTATAATGCGTTAATTGGAATTTTGAAGCCTCATAGATTAATCCATTTGACTTCCCCACAATTGAACTAAACTGTAAGGACTAAAAACCATGTATAAAACACAATCATTTAGGAATTTGCTTGACTATCTACTTCTGGATTCTTAAATAATTCTTTCTCATCTTTTCTTTGGTAATACATATTTTTCTTGTTAATAATGTACTTTATTATACATATTTATGATGATCCACTCTTAGATGCATTTCCTATTTGTGCAATCCAGTGGTCTTCACTTTCGTTTGAATTGAGGAAAGATAATTGATTTAATTAATTCGACTAGTAATTGAATATGATACTGCTGTGGTTATGATATATATGCTCCTATATTTAATGAAATAAACTAATACATAATTCATCCACTGATAAAGATGAAGTTTTCTAGATTTATTATAGAGCGGCATTAATTTAAAGTGTATAATTATTATTTCCTAAATATGTTGGTTCTTCGTATAGTTGTTTTCTAAAATTTCCACTAGTCAGATTATTAGGTGTGATTTGTGGTTGGTCCTTTCATTGGTGAAAACCGCCTTCCATCATTCTTAATAAGGAAGAAACTTTTTACAGGTAAGTGAGGTCGTATATAATATGGGAATGTTATAGAAGAAATTTTTTAAATTTTTTCTTACACATCTAATTTTACATCTAACACACCATGTTTAATTTCTAGATACATATGGGTGTTTATCTAGTTATAGTTAGTCTCTTGTTTTGGTTTAATTGTGTTGGATGATGGCTTGAAACACTGTCGTATTAGAACTTAAATGGGATGATGTCGTTTTGATCTGAACTGAGGAAACAATCCTGAGCGTTGATGAAGAGAAGATCCAACGGCTGGAATTAAACCCTACAGTCAACCATATAAAAGCAGATCTGTTTTGGCATTTTGTATGCAGTAACTTTTGTGCAAACTCTCTCTTCTTTGTTGACACAATATTGAGTCTGTTAGGGTTTCAATTTGGGTTGTGTGAATCTTGTAACTTGGTGATTGAGTGACTGGGTTAGGTCATTCAGGGTGTATTTGTATACGTAGTCAGTAAGGATTGAAAGGGTATAATATCTAGGGTTAGTTACAGGTTGAAGAAGGGATTTAAGGGTTTTGTGGTACTGTGTGTAATCTGTAATCTTGACAGTGATTTAGTGCAGCGAGCTTGTGTGTTTCCCGAGCTCAACGTGGACGTAGCTTGCTCAAAATAGAGCAAGTGAACCACGGTAAAATTCTGGTTGTTCTTGTGCGTGTTGGTTGTGATCTTTGTTTGGTTGATTCCTATGTGCGTGTGGTTATAACAGTGGTATCAGAGCGTTAGGTTACAAGAAATTAGGGAGTTATTTGGTTAAATTCCAATATGAGATTTCTAGGGTTTTTGGGACTGCCGATTAAATTAGGGCTTTCTCAATTTTAGGGTTTAGAAATCAAATTGGGGACTGGAGGAGTGTTATTCAGAACGAATTAGCACAGATCTCACTAGCAGTATAAATCTAGGGTATTCCCGTTTCTTGAAGATTCAAGAACAGAGTCTAGTTCTTGATCTTTCTTTCGCACAAACATTACCAAACACTTCACCATGACAAATAGCACCACCCGAATGGAAATCTCCCAATATGATGGGAAGATTGACTTTAGGAGTTGGAAGAAAAAAATGAAAGCATGGCTTTCTCACAACAAAGTGGCCATCGCACTGGAAGAGGACTCCAAGAAGTGGCCAGAGGAGAAGCTGAAAAAGAAAGAGGAGATCAATGAGGAGGCATACAACTTGATAATCATGAACCTGTCCGACAGCGTTCTCAGGAAGGTAGACGAAATTGAATCACCGATTGAACTCTTGGGTAAACTCAATACCCTGTATGCTTTGCAATCTGCCCCCAACTTAGCCTTTCTAAAGGGGGCTTTATTTTCGTATAAAATGGATAGTGCTAAGAGTATAGATGAAAACCTAGATGAATTTTTGAAAATGTCTTTGATCCTGAAAGGGACAGACCAAACATTAGGAGAAACTAGTCTAGCCATGATCCTATTGAACTCCCTGACTGATGACTACCAGGTAGTCAAGAATGCCCTACAGTACTTGGGTACTGTACCAAATCTTGACCTAATAACAGTAGGACTTAGGGCCAGAGAATTAGAATTAAAAACCCAGAAACGAAATGGCACAAATCTGTTTGTTAAGGGCAGACCAGAACCTAGTCAAACTGGTAAGGGAAATCAGAATAATCAGGGGGCTAGAAATAAGAAAAAATGGAAGGGTAGCAACAAGCATAGAGTAGAGTCTAGAAAATGCTTCTTTTGTAATAAAACTGTGCACATTAAAAAGAACTGTTTTGAGTGGATTAAAAAACAAAAACAAGGGAATACAGAGAATAACCTAGCCACCACCAGAAACCTGGTAGAGGAAACTGAAGTCCTCACTGTGTCAATGAATGACACTGGTGAAGAGTGGGTGCTGGACTCAGGCTATTCGTTTCACATGAGTCCTAGGAGAGACTGGTTCCAGGAATTTGAAAATTTTGACAATGAAATTGTTTACATGGGAAACAATAATGCATGTAGAGTAAGAGGGATAGGCACAGTGACTCTAAGGGTTAACACTGGAAAAATTGTAAAACTAACTAGGGTTAGGTATATACCTGAACTTAAAAGAAATTTGATATCCCTTGGCACCTTAGATGAATCAGGATGCTGTTATAGAGCAGAAAATGGATGCTTGAACATATATAGAGGTAACAACCTGATACTGAAAGGAGAAAAAAGAAATGGGCTTTACATACTCTGTGGGAATCATTCCCAAAACTGCTTTAACTTTGTGTTTATTTCTACTAACCTATCCAATACAGAAAAGTGACTCCTTAGATTAGGCCGCATGAGTCAAAGAGGCATGGACATTCTGAAGCATAAAGGGCAGTTTGGTAAGGACAAGACTGCATCCCTTGAATTATGTGAGAATTGTATTTTAGGGAAACAGCATAGAAACAGTTTCACCAAGGGGACACACCTAGCCACTAGCCAACTAGAATACATACACTCTGACCTTTGGGGACCTGGAAAAGTGAAATCTTATGGAGGGAATAATTACTTTATGTCTTTGGTGGATGACTACAACCGCAAGGTGTGGGTGTACCTACTGAAATCCAAAGATCGGGCTCTAGCTAGGTTTAGGGACTGGAAAACCCTAGTAGAAAACCAAATGGGCAAAAGGTAAAGGTTCTTAGAACAGACAATAGGCTGGAATTCTGTAACCAAGAATTTGACAAGTTTTGTAGTGATCAAAGGGTTTTAAGACATAGGACAGTAACCTACACCCCACAACAGAATGGAGTGGCAGAACGAATGAATAGAACCCTCATTGATAAAGTTAGGTGCCTATTAGTAACCTCCAAACTCTCCACCTCCTTTTGGGGAGAAGCCCTTACCACAGCAGCATACCTAATCAATAGGAGCCCATCTACTACAATAAACCTAAAGAGTCCTGAAGAAATGTGGACTGGTAGAATCCCAGCCCTTAACCACCTAAGAGTTTTTGGTTGTGTAGCCTATGCACACACCACATGAGGTAAATTGGAACCAAGATCAACTAAGTGCATATTTTTAGGGTATCAAGAAGGGACCAAGGGTTATAGACTTTGGGATAGAGAATCTCCAAGGGTTAAAATCATTGTGAGCAGAGATGTGGTATTCAATGAGGGAGTCTTTACCTGTAAGGAAACTAGAACGAGATCTGACCCCACTTCAAGCTTAGAGGACTCTTTTAGCCATCCTGAAGTTACACCAATTGAGGTGGAGTTTCCTGCTCAAACACAAACCATTCAAGAAACTGAAGCTCTTACTGAACCTAGAGGAGAAACTGGACAAACTGATCCAGAACATGAGGATGAGACAGAAATAGTAGATGACACTAAAATCCAACCTGAAAACTTGCAAGACTACCAGCTTGCAAGAGACAAAACCAGAAGACAGGTAAGGGCACCCACAATGTATTCATATGCTGATCTAATATATACTGCTCTTCTTGTAGGTACCGAAATACAAACATTAGAACCTGAAACCTATGAGGAAGCCATGCAGTCAAAGGAAAGGAATCAATGGAAGGCTGCAATGGAAGCAGAAATGAGGTCTTTGGAGGTGAACAGAACCTGGAAGCTTGTACCAAAGCCTAAGGATCAGAAACTAGTACAATGCAAGTGGCTGTTCAAACTAAAGGAATGTATCACTGAAAA